TGTTTATTTCTTCCTGTTTATTTCCTGTTCTTTTTGGTCACCACCCGTGACAATATGGCGGACATCGCAATGGCGGCAGGCTGCCATAAAAATAGCCGTAGATCTAGTACACTGTACCGTGGGTGACATTTCGTGCTTGATTGAAGTTGTTCGACGAAGCAGATTCTTGAAACCCGGCGTGAACGGTAGCCTCATCTTTGAGGACCCGGCAAAAGTTCTACGAAAGCGCAGCACCGGGGGAAAGCAGCGCAGCTCGCATCAAAAGCAGACTCCGTACCGTCGTCTGCTTTCGATGCTTCTTTCGATGCGACTTTCGATACGTGCTGTGCTGCTTTTCTTCCGGTGCTGCGATTTCGTGAAACTTTTACCAGGTCCTCACAAACCGGACTACTGTTCACGCCGGGTTTCAAAAACATGTTTCGTCAAATAATTTTAATCAAGCACGCAATATCACCCACGCTATTTTGACCGCAGCCTGCCAACCCACCTGCCAAAACGCTATCTGCCATGGATGGATGATAGCGGCTGCGGCAGCTTACATTGGCTAGAGGTGATAATATAACTCTACCTAAAGATGGCCGCCAGTGACCGCATTCGTGGAGCGGGCAAACGCGATCCAGCAATTGTCATAGAGATCAGTGGCGGAGGCCTTGAGCAATTGACCGACAGCAAACAGAGCGTGTGAGTGGCTCTCCGGACCCACGTGATGAGCAGAGCAAGGCCGCCGTGGAGGAAGCGAGGGGGAGATTTGACGGAGGGAAGTTTCCCCCCGGGAAGAATTGACGGAGGGAAATTTCCCTCCGACGGCCGGAAGCGGATCGCGGCAGAGCGCGGCACGATTTGCCGGAGTCGCGGGTTTTGTAGTGTCCTGTTTGGACAGTAGTGTCCTGTTTGGACACCCCTTTAGCAAGGCTTCGTAATCGGATTATGACTGGTCCAAGCGCACCCCAGACAGGCAAGATGGCAGCGCCCTGAAACCGGACTTGCAAACGTGTATACCGAGCGGGTTTCTTTTATAACCGAGTAGGAGTGTCGGGTTGTTAGTGCCTCTGTTCGTTGTTTGTGTATGTAGATGCTCGTATGTTGATCTTGTGGTATGTGCTGTGTTGTGCTGTGTTGTGATGTGTGTGTGTGTTGGTATGCTGCCGTCCGTGTTCGAGCGTGTCACTTCCTCAAATGCCGAAATGTCCTTCATTTTTGTAATTTTCCGCATACTCACTAGGTGGCGCAAGCAGCCGCCCAATTTTATTTTAGCTTTGTTTGTACGTAGTCCATTTATGTGTAAGGAACCACACCACATACACTTTTTATTTTTTTTTTTTTTTGCTCTACTGACGTCTAACCCCTGGTTAGCTCAGTTGGTAGAGCGCTCCACTTGTAATGGAGAGGTCCCGGGTTCGATACCCGGACCAGGCGGATTTTTTCGGTCGCTCACCAGTCACCTAGCTGTGTTTGGAGATTTATGTTTGTCCTTTGTCCTTCTTGTTCCCCTTCTCCAGGGATTACTTTCGTCACCACATACACGTTTGCAAGTCCGGCTTCAGGGCGCCGCCATCTTGCCCGGCTGGGGCGCGCTTGTGCGCGGCCATAATCCGATTACGACGCCTTAGCAATGCTTCGTAATCGGATTATGACTCGTCCGAGCGCACCCCAGCCGGGCAAAATGGCGCCGCCCTGAAGCCGGACTTGCAAACGTGTATAGCCAGCCGAATGCAGCTCCGGAGTTCCCGGGTGGGCCGATAGGGGCGCTGACATAGCTACAGTCTAGTAGAAAAGTAACCGCGTGAATGGCGCATAGCGCCGGCGTTGAGTTCATCCTCGTTCGCTGGCCGTTTCGGTAGCCGATTCGTACCCGGAAAGCCGCAAAATTTGCGTACACACGAGATATGAGTGGATACGTCGAAACGTCGCGTACAACTTTGCTCGCCGTAAAGAGGTGAGCGGGACGTCGGTAACGCCGGTCGGGTAGGGTCGGGTCGGGTTGGTGTCGGAGCTATTCGTCGTCGCTCACGGCAAACGGGCTCTTTCAATAAAGTTCATGTCTGTGGTCGCGAAAAGATAACTGCTGTGGAAATTACCCGGCGTCGGTGACAATGCAACCGGCTTGAGGCCTCGGCGATCGGCTGAACCGCCACGCGAACGAGACCTGCTCGATGGGGAAGTACGCTGCTGGATGCAGTCGATGGTCGCTCCCACTGTCGCGTAATCGCCGTAATGGATACGGCGTCGGCGCTTGGGGGTGAATGCTTGCGGTAGTTCAGCACGTATGGACGATTACGAACGAACACGTGCAAACTGCTGCGGCGAAAAGCCGTGTAAAGCGCTGGGCCTCGCTCGTAGAACCCGTCTTGCGTCAAACGGCCGCCATTGTAAAAAAACACCCCTAGACGTGTGATCTCAGAACGAAGTACACGTTGAAAGATGTTCATTTTACACGAGACCTCGGGTGCAAACGAAATACACCGAGCCTCGCGTGTAAAACGAACACCATTTGGGGAGTCCGCCCTGGGACAACGGTTTACACGTCCAGGGGTGTACTTTTTCGCTGTGTGTGCAACTACTGGGTGTTTCAAGGAGCGGCCAGGCTCTTCTAATCGATCGCAAAATTCGGTTTCTTAACCTATCGCGCTACGACTTTGTGCAGCGTTGCCCACAGATAGTGCATTTTTTTTATCATTTGCAAAAAGCGAACTTACCCGAGGAAAAAGTAAAGAAAGAAAAAGGCCTGGTTCCTATGAAAACGCAGACAAACAATACGGCGCCGTTTCGCACGGGAGACAAGAGATGGCGCGAGCGTTTGCGACGCCAACTACCGCCGACGATCGAGCGCACAGCGCCGAGAGCCGGCGTATTTAGCAGACGGCGTCTTTAGCAGACAAGAAACTGCAGTTCCTTGTTGTTACCGCGCCGGTTTTTGTTTCTGCGACTGTCGCCGCCTGCGGAACGTGCGCCCCTTTTGAGTCGAAACGATCGTCTGCTACAGACGCCGGTTCTCGGCGACGTATGCTCGTTCGTTGGCGCAGTTGGCATCGCGACCGCTTGCGCCATCTCTTGTCTTCCGTGCGAAACGGCGCCGTGTTGTTTGAAGACCGGTGGCTTCGCTGCGTTTCCATAGGAGCTAAGCCTTTTTCTTTCTTTACTTTTTCCTCAGGTGATTTTGCTCTTTGCAAATTTGACAGAAAAAAGAAATGCACCATCTGTGGGCAACGCTGCACGAAGAGCCTGGCCGCGGCATGACACTGACTTCTGAGCAGGAAGTTCCAGATCATTCCGTCATGTTCAGTGACACATCCCGGCAGAGGCTCCGGAAGTCTTTCTTTGGAGGGTGGGCTCGACATCTCCGAAATCCTTAAGGTTAGGTTGGTTCCAGGTTGACATTAATTGCCATATTTGAATGAAAACATATTAATGCAGCGCGTTTGCATATTCACGCACATATCCATGGAAAAGAAATTAATTCAATGGTTCAGTAAAATAACAGTAAGAAGCTTGCACTGACAACTCATACAATGATTGGATAACCACTTAAATCAGCCGCCCCATGTGCTCTTTATTCTTTTCTTTCCTATACCAACTTTTACATATCAACCGCAGCTGTGCCTATGCCAAATTGGCTATGTCTAACAAGGAAAACGTTCCTTCATTTAGTGATTCTCGGGGAACCATGATGTATTAACGCAGACGTAGACAAACTAGTGTTAAAAGTTTTAGACAAAACCCCGAGACTCGCGGGAAGAAAAGGACAACACAATACGAAGTCTCAAACACAGCAAGTTGGACCATCGAATTCTCAACTGGAGGCAGAGATTGCATACATCGGTATGTGCCTCAGGATCAAGTACATCGACCGTGATCGCTTTGGACTCTTGGCGTCAATGCAAGTTGGGGGTCATCACAAAAGGAAGGTGCTGAAGGATAAGAGCTGTGCTTGAGACTTCGTGTTGTGTTGTCCTTTTTTTCCCCCAGTCTCAGGGTTTTGTCTAAAATGTTAAACTTTCAACAGCTTGCTTGCGCCCTAACTTTTTGTTTGTTAAAAGTAACTGGAATGCAATGTCAAAGGTATCATTGCACAGTCATATTTTTTTAGGTTAACTACGGCTTTGGGGGGAGAACTCATTGCGACTGTAAAGCGTTAAGGTGAACACATAACGAACGGATCAGAACATAACTATCTCGTGAACGTGGTTGTTTCCTGTTCCTGCTCTCATAATATAAACCTTAAATAATGACCTATCTTACCAAAACGATCGTACTTAGTTTACTTGAGGTGTGGTACAGGTAATTAGAATTAACCTTTCCAAGGAAAAAATACGCTGACCCGTTTCGATGCATTCTACGTACATGTTCCGTTTATTCAATAGAGTGGATACATATATGGTCTAAAAAAATGTTTCATTAAAAACCTGATGATGCCAGATTAAACCCCGTCAAACAGATGAAAAGGATCAACGCGAACATGTATACATGAACATTTCACGGAAAGTTACCCCAGGCATCCCGCCACATATAGAGACATGATTCAGCACTGTCAGAAAAAAGAAAAAAAAACACGTAATGACCAGAAGGTGACACAAGAGCTCCGTTTGTGTGCGAATCAATTATATACACTAAACGCAACACAAAATAAACAAGGCGAAAATCATAAATAACAAGTTTCAAAAAGGGTGTGTTGCCTCCTATAAAGCCATTTACGTAGTCCTTGCGTGCATCTCGTACTGAGTACGAATCAACCACACAATGATAAACTTTATCACGCGTGTATATTTAATAATTTTTAACAAATATATGCGAGGCAACAAACCAACATTCAACACATTCAGGTTTAGAAAAAAGGCAAAAATATACACTGGCAGAGAATGCAGAGTGTCAATCCACGACCGCTCGGTCTGCTGCGCGCGCTTGAGCGAGATCGAGGGGCCCGTGGTTGGTGCGTCAAATTATAAACACGAAATTTCTTGTTTCGAACACTTTTTCGAAATAAGAAAAAAGAAACTATTCAACTAGCATGGGCCAAACGTAGCTAAGCGTTCGGCTGTTTTGGCGATAAATTCAATCATGACATTTTTAAGGCACAGCTTTCCAGTTCTTTGTCGGTGGGCATGCAGAAGAAGGAGATGCGTGAGGCGGGTCTGTGTCATGCGACTCCGTAGGTAAGTTTTTACTCGTCTCAACGCACTGAAAGAACGCTCCCCTGATGCCGCCGATGCTGGCACCGTTAGTAAAAGCTGCACAAGCCTGACAACTTGGTCCAAGAGATTCAGAACAGTTGGAGACTGTTCCTTCAGTGCTTCCGCGACATCATCGACTACGTTCACCTCTGTGCCAGAAAGAACCGTTGGGAGGAGTACAAGCTGTGCATTTAGCCTATCTAAATCAAAGTCGCTGCCATGGACGCCGAGCGCTTCTTTTAACTCCTTCGCATTGAATCGCTGTCCACGTGCACCGCTGACAAGCGTGCTTTCGAGCTTTACCAGCAGCTCCATGCCAGGTTGGTCGAACCGGCTCTTTATTTCTGACGTTACGCAGTCAACTGCCGCAAAGAATTCCTTTCGAAGGTTGGCCTTCGCATCCAGCACCACTGGGGAAGTAGGCGTCTTCGTCTGCTCAAATCTTGTTGGCGGCTTTACAGTTCTGGTGGTTGTGGTCTCCCTCTGTTTAAGGCCAAGCTTCACGGAGGCATTTTTGGTTTCGTCCCAAACTCTTTCAAAACCTTCGTCTGTTCTCAGATTCATCATAGTTTGACGGAGAGCTTCAGCCGCTTGCATCGTTCCGGTCGCACTGTATTTAGGACTCTGAAGAACCCTGGCAAGTTGTTCACATGGGCCGAAGAGTTCCTTTGACATGTTCAGTCCAAAAAGTGTCTCAAACTTGTTGAGCAGTTTTTCGTACCCTCTCATGATTGCTCTTCGATCATCTCCGATTGATCCTGGAGTTTGCAAAAGATCGTGGATCGTAGCTTGAACCCTCTCGTAGTTCTGCAGAAATCGTTTCATGGACTTCACTCTCACTGTCCACCTCGTTGGACAGAGTGGCAGAAGATTGCTTGCCTTCACGGGCCTTTCCTGTGAAGCGTCTGCGCACGGAGGGAGGACTATGCCTATGTATGTGTTCTTCCGTTTTGAAGACGTTAGGATGATGTTGGACACGTCTTTTACTGTGCTTAACGCTTCTACAACTACTCTGCTGCTTCTGCCAACCTCCTGCAGAGCCAAGTCTAAAGAATGGCTGGCACAATGCACGTAAACAGACTTCGACTGAATGTCGCTAATTTTCTTCTGAACACCAGAAAAGCGCCCAGACATGTTTGCCGCACCATTGAAGCAGTGTCCTCGCAAACTACTGAAGTCCAGCCCTAGACGAACGAGCATATCCTTGACCGCCATGAACAGCGTGTTAGCCTTAGAGTCTGGAGGGCTATAAACCTCAATAAACTCTTCCTTGATCTCCAATGACGCATTTTCGACCCAACGCAGGCATAGAGTAAACTGCTCGTCTCCGGCAACATCGGTTGTCCCGTCAGCGATGATTCCAAAAAAAGGGCTCCTTTTCACCTCTTCTACAATGTCGCGTTGCAGTTTGTGAGCCATGATTTTGATTATTTCATTTTGGATGTCACTGCTCAGCCACTTGTCTCGTCGAGTTAACCAGGTCTTAAGAGCAGGCACATCCTCGGAGCGTTCCTCTAATAAATGAACTAGGTTGCCGTCCTGTAGAGTGTGCCCCAGCAGAGCCTGACCTGTGCGGCAGAGGTACCGAATAGAGCTCACAATGACGCAAAGGGCGTCCCTGGACTCTTGCTGCTGCTTCATAGAATTCCTTGTAAGGAGCTCGACAACACGTGCACCCTTTGTTTTCCCTAGTTGGTACTGCACGGCGTCGAGATGATACGTGCTCTTTTCATGACAGCGAAACTTCTCAAGCGCGTTCTTCCAGTTTGAGAACCCACTCTGTAGAAAGCTGAGCTCTAAGCCCGGGATAGTGACCCCTCTTTCCTTAAACGCAACACTGCATTCGTGACAAAGCACGACGTCGCGATCAGATACGTAGTGGAGCCAAGGAAACATTTGAAACCATGCATGCTGGCAGGACCTGTTACCTTTGCTCTTTTTGAACAGGTAGCTTTTTGGGGGCACAAATTTGCTGGCGGCTGGAGTATCTTCCCCATGACGGCGTTGCTCATCCGGCAAACATGATGTTGAAGGAGCCTCGACGGGTTCAAGATCATCCGAAGCATCAGTGAAGTCAGGGCTAGGAGAAGGTCTGCCGATGTTTTCTGTATTTATAAACAAGAAACCATTTAATCGAAATATGAATAAGCACTTTTTGCTACAGGCAGACACGTTAGTCAGACGCCGTTTATAAGAGGGTACATGACGGTCTGGTGTTGTTTTAGCTTGCGTATGAATGATTGCCCGGCACGCGCGGAGAAGCGCAATTATCGCTCACTAGCTGCTACCACTTTCAAAGGCAGTATGATCATAATTATTTTGAATTTGAAAATTCTCAAAAAATAATGAGGAACGAACGGAGCTTCTACAATACAACATCCGAAGAAGTGCTCAACCTGTGCAACATAATTCGCAGAATACTCTTTAAGCGCATTCCTCAGCACGTCGCCGCATTTTTGCCAAAGTGCAAGCATCTTGAGCCTTACCGACGGTTCGCTTTTTTGAGCAGTCACTGGATAGGGCTGAGCAAGTATTTGGAGTCCCGCAGTTGATATCAGGAGCTTTTCGCTTTCTGATGAGGTACTTTTCCATAGTGTTCCGAAATCTTCTGAAAAGGTACAAAATAAAATTAGTCTAACAGCACGTAATAAAGAACAAGAAATGTTTTGAAATTAAGTACCGTATCAAAAGCTGGAAACATTACATTTCCAACTTCTTTTTTGAGAGTCCGGATACGTTATTAATGCAGTAGGAGAAAGCGAGTTAATTCAGACTGGCGGAAAATATTGGCCACCCATGTTTCTCGCTTATCACACTAGATATTTCCGCCTGTCCTGCAAAGTCTCATCAAAAGGACAACCTCTAGATACACACAAACCACTCGATCTCTAAAAAAAAAAAAAAAAGAGAGAGAGAGAATTTGTGTTAATTTTAAAATTGGGTTATTATGTTTTGACTTTAGAGACTTTAAAGTGAAATAACTTTAAAAATATACTCTTCATCAGCATAACATTTTACTCGCATATTCGTTGGCATATTGGAGTTGCGCGATGGCTGTTTTTGCCCGTGACTTTTCTCGTACCTGTAATAAGTGCGTATCTGTTAAACACGTGACGGTGTAATGCCAGCCATCTACATGATGATAATATGATGGGAGATATAATAGGGAGTTTTAGTTTTAACCCTGAAACCATACCCGATACCCCTCCTTTTTCATCGTCATTGGCGAGTTTTAGTAGACCGTGTTTCCCCCTCCGCTAAGCCCCTCCGCTACCCGGAACCCTACAGCCAAGGCCATCGGCGCACAGGCGCAGTGCCGGTTTGTTCGTAGCGGAGAGTTAGCGGATTCCTCCGCTAACCCTCCGGGGAAACACGGTCTACTAAAACTCCCTATTATCGGGTATCAATTTGGGAGCGGAAAAACGGTCGGCTAAAACTCCCCCGTTTGTTTAACAGCAGTAGTGCAGACTGTGGCAACAGATAACGCGCGACGGTGTGTAAACACTGTTCTTCATACTTCCTAGCTTTTCAATGTAGCCAATGACCTATTTCAACCTCTCTGGTAGAGCTAGCGCTATTACTGAAAGTAAAAAAAGAAAAAAAAAAGGGATAATTTTCAGGTTCGCCAAGACTACTTTACAAATTTTTTTCTGCAAGTCGCATAATTAGGATTCTCGCCCTGTACCATTGAAAAGGGAGATTCACCTGACAATAATATTGGTAAATAAAATTAAAATCAACATGCAGTAGTGAACCAAAAGATATATTATTTCGGTTTTACGTGGGTAACCTTTCTTCGAAGTGTGATACCGATATAAAAATTGTAATGGAACACTACTTAACGTATTTATAGAGTAGAAACTGATGCTTACTTAAATATGACTCAATCAACTAGACGTCGAGCAATACTTCTGTAAAAGAAACGAAATATCATATATTTTTGTTCACTACTGTATGTGCTCAGTGACTTCGAGCTGACACGACTACCAAGCAAATTATGAGCGCACATTCTTCTAGTTAATAAGATAGTGCATATTTTTTGCATGTGCAGTGCCTTTCTTCAGAAAGGGAACTAGCTAGCGCAAGATGCGCCCACCAGTGCACGTAAGGTTAAGTCTAGATGTTATTATTTTTGTGGTAGGAAATACCGCCGTGGGGTAATATCAGACAGCGCAGTGTTTTCGAAAATGCATTGTATGGTATTAATATATATAAAATTTACTCCGATAAACTTATATCTTATTGGAGTAAAAAAAGTTTTAACATACACACCACACACTGATACCAGATTGCTGGCCAATAACTCTGCCAATAATCCGAGTAAAGCTTCAGAAAGAATTATAGCCACAAAAAGAAAGTAAAAACATAGGCCGATGTTGCCCCGCACTCCCCTACATGATCATAGGTGTATAATTGTAAAAAAGTGTTATAATATGCAATTAGATGTCGTTGAGAAAAATGAAACGCAGTGCAATCCCATGTTTCAACGAGATTTGAAAATCCAATTACGTTAGAGGCCAAAATCTACTCCCTGACTTTGCTTTTCCCTACCGGGAATCATACTAATTACTATAGTCTTGCATGTTCGACTTAATCTTTAATATAAAAAAAAACCAATCTGGAGATTATTTCATTGATTCGAATAATTACGACTTTCAGGATTCGGGCCGGGACTAATATATTTCAAGTTCCAGAAAGTCTCGGCTGACTTTTACGTCAGTCTACCTTTTCGGGTAGTATGCATTTTCAAAGAGAAAAAAGAATGACGTTTGGTAATTTTGACCAATGTGAACCTAAATGACGCATTGACACATTTTCCAAACCGTTGATTACAATGTTCCTCATAAGGTAAATTCATTCAAGAAAATTAAATTACACGTTAGGCGGAGAAACTACTCCATATCGGAGCACACGCAATATATGTGGAACCCATTTGGAAGAGGGGGGAGAAAAGACCACTCACCGATGTCGTGCACGCAGAGGTACGATTAAATGTGGGGAGACCAGGAGCGGGGTGTTGGGATTGAGCGGTTGTCCTGCTGGATCAGCTCGATTGGGGCCAGGACCAGGGCAGGACTCCGGAGATGAACGTCCCGTCGGAGAGCCGGGTCTCTCGATTGAAAAGCGCTGTCTATTTATATTTCATACACAGTCGTATGTTCAGTGCAGAGGGCACAGTTCGAAACTGCACGCCGCTCTTATTGAATGGTAGGTTTTCCCCGAGTCCCTAGGTAGGGAATCCGCATTATGAAGAGGGTACCAATGCCAGTAAATCTGGCACTTTTAAATCATCAGGCTCCGTCTTTGTCCCGTCCCACATTGCACACACGCGAACACCACTTAGTGGCAAAGCTGCAACAAAGGCCTGCCGATCACGTTCGTTGACTCGGGAAATGGTGACCTTGACGAAGATAAAACATACTCCCTCGTCCTCACAAGCCGCCCAGATTATCCGAAAATTCTGGGGGCCTCCTTTCGGTTAGGAACGCGAGCCGTCGGCTTCAGAGTCCTTTAATTAAGCGGTTTCAGTTGACACAGTGGCGGTAGTCGGACGCTTCTGAGCATAAGCTCCTCGGCGCCGTCTACCACCACTCCGTCTCGTCAGCTACTGGGATTATCCGATACTCCACGGTCTGTCGTTTCGGCAAAGTCAAGACGAGCCGCCGCCTTTCTTTGTCCAGGTCGTTAGAAGAGACCCCGCAGCCCTGGTCAAAAGCTCCTCCAGCTCATCAACGTAATCTCCTGGGCGACGTCTGCCGCGAGGCGTCCACACCTGCGCTTCATTCCTCTCTCCGGAGTATTTGGTTTAGGAGCGCGGTCGATCAGCAGGCTTTTGTAAAGGCAAAACTACGGGAGGCTGGAGCGACATGAAACCTCGAGGAGCCGACATACTGGACCATGAGTGAAGACAGCAGTGAAAGACTCATGCTGGTTCCGCTTTTGCCCATCGAGGTAACAGCATTGTCTCGACATGTTTATGTCATGAAAGTTCTCGGTAAGGCGGTAAGCGGATGGCTGGACGTTGATTTCTGTCACTGTTTATATTCAGTGTCATCAAAATAAAGAAGGTCATTAAGTAATTCAAGCGAGCACATCTTAGAACTGCATCCAAAACACCCCCGATAGGCCTGTCGCAGTGTGACCTGGCTGCAGGGTTCGCCTCTTTCCGTACTCATTTAAGGCATATAAAAATGCCTATACATGGCTTGCACATGACGTCAAAGCCGTCCTCCTTGCTGGTAGTGGAAGTCTGCCGTTAATGCACTGGAAGCTCCGCTGACTCCTTTTCCGCTCGCTCGCAACGCTCGTTTCCTGTTTGTAGAATTAGTACAGTAAAGTCTACGCTCCACCACCAGAGAGGAGGATCAAATTACGTCAGGGCAAGCTATGTATAGGCTTTTTTGTTTTGTTTTGCACACTTAGATCAGTTAGGGACACCCACCTAAACAAACTTACCAAAGACACGTTTGTTTGGGGGGGGGGGGGGGGGGGGGGGCACTTCTATTATTATATCTCAGAAAGAGAAAGCTGCAACAGCTTGTCAAAGCAGCGCTCATAAGTTGTTCACCGAGGTAAGTCGGCAGTCTAAACCTGAAGAACGATATCGTTTTTCCATCCAAATCGGTTTTGAACGGTCGCCATCACGTGTGGCCGTCACCTTCTTAGTTATTTTATTCTCTTTTATCACTATCTTCTCAGCGCAGGTACCATCTAGGCTTTCCCGCCTTATGAGAACAGCCGAGCTACCGCCGAACAAAGGAGAAACAAAGACACTGAAAACACTGTATGACAGCAGGAACCACACGACTAAAAAACAAAACCAGACCTAGAAAAACAGGCTAAATAAAACTCTGCGAGCTATTAGCGATGAGATGTTTCAGAGTCTCCCTCAGGAC